GAATTTAATTTTGTACTTTAAAATGTTTCATTTTATAATGTAATTTTATAGAGTTCTGTAAGTAGCTTTTGTGCAATATCTTTTGAATATTTTAAGCCGCAAATATATTATAGCAAGTTTTTAAAAACTTATTCTTTTCAGTCATCTTTTAGCGAATTTTTTATTAGTTGTTTCAAATAAATTTGTTCTTTTTGTCAGGATCATTGAAAAAATGTAACCTTTACTAAAAGTCAACCAAGCCTGGTGCTTGAAGTTGTTTTTTCGTCCTAGGCATCAATTCATCATCAAAAAGAAAACAATTTTTGTGGAACATGTAGATTGTATGTATTGAGAAAAAAAATAATAGTGCATATTGGAAAAAATGACATTTAGTATTCTTGTAATTTGTTTAATTAAGTAATTATTTATTTTTTTCTCAACTTATTATTTTTAATTATTTTTATCAGATACTTTTTTTCTCTTTTTTTATTTAACTTAAATGGCCCTAGAATTAAAAGACAAATCTCTGTTCCTTCTCTGATCTTTAAATGTTATTTTCTTTATTGTCTATCTCTATATTATGCCTAAACTGTTTTAAAAATGCTTTTATTTAATCAAAGCATATGATGTTCTAATTTTTTATCACTCACCTATGCTAGTAAAAATTTATCAGACCTGCAGGCATACTCAAAAATCATTCAAACTTTGAGCTTTTGGTAAATTAATCAACCAGTAATCAGAGGCATCCCAACACCTGGTACCAAGAATGCCTCTTGAACCATTCTCTAATGCCCCGTCATTTATCAGATCTTGAATTTGTTGGCTAAGTTTTCTCTTGTGTCTGTGATTAAGATGATATTACTCCATCTGTGTTTATTTTCTCCGCAGAAAATTATTGCCATTTTAAATATATTGTATTATTTTTATTCCGAGTTTTAGAGTAATTATTCATGCAGTTTTAGTATTTTTATTTTCTGATAATTTCAGATCAGTTTTTCATTTTTTTACCCTTGTTTCTTGCTCATTACTCTTAAATTTTGTATTGCATTTTTATTAAATATTTTGTTGATTTTCTTGTTTTCTGAATTTAGCATTAGCAAGCTTTAATTTTGTTTTTCCTGAGCAAAATCGTTTTAGTTAGTTTTTTCTGATTATCGAATGTAGTAGAATCTTAAATTTATTTCTTGGCCAGAATTGCTGGACTGGCAGGCACCTAACATTTTATTGCAGTCAATCAGATTTTATAGTTTTGTGTCTAGTGACTGAAAGGCTCCATGAGCCTGAAAAAAGTGTTGATATTCCACCTCCTCCGTGCATGAAAAATACACATACGAAATCTGATCAGTTTGTCAGGCTTTTGTAAAAATTAGGCGGAACTTCAACTGCCCTCTAACTATTGGTGTTCGTGCGAGTGTAGCTTATGCAAACAAATAGAGGTTTATTGAAAGGAAACAAAAATAAAGACATTTTTAACTCACAGTGATTCTTGTTCTCACAACCATCACATAGCTTTGCCTAAAATTCGATACTTTGCGGTAGACATTTTCGAAAAGTTTTAGTTAAGAATGGTATTTTTTTCTTTAATGTAAACCGAATCATCAAATTGTTTTTTAATGAAATAGAAATTTGCTGTATTGTGTAATTTTTTAAATTGCACATAGACACTATTGTCTCTCAGGCAACGAAATATATATTCAACACTACCCGAGATTTTAAATAGGGTTCAAACCTTTGTTCTAACTACTTCTAATTGTTACTGGATTATTGTTGTTGTTATTTATCCTCTTTCAATTAATGTCTATATAGCCTTTGTTCTTTTTGCAACACAGTGTATGTGAAATCTATCTTAAGAAATGTTCTGAAATATCGAAGCAATTCTATCTTTTATCATACAGAGCTTTCAAAGTAATTGTATAGGTTTTCATTGTCAAATTTTTCGAAAAAGGAAATCTGATCATTCACCTACATATCCTTGTCCAGTACTGAAATTGGTAATAACTGTACTAACTTGGATATAACAGCCAAGATGGATAATATTGCCCCGTTACTCGGATGCTAAGGGCTTAGAGATTAAAATGAAATAAACTCGTTTTTAATATTTGCCATCAACATGCTATTACAGGAAATTCTGGCAGACACATCATTGTTTTTTGTAAGCAGTGTGTAATGTCAAGTCTTTGTTCACAGAGTCTCTTTAAATCTAAAATCGTGTAAATTTTCCATTTTTTTGGTGTTTAAAAGCCATCACTTTTGTTTAACTTTTTTGAACCCACTGCTTAGAAACATGGACTTACCTCAAAGTACTGACTAATTTTATTGTGCTAGCTTTAGTTAATTTAGCCGAATGTTACTCTGTTACCAAGCGTTTATCAGATCTGCAATTAGATCGCCCCATGTTAAATTTGTCAGTGTTACACGTTTGTTTAGTATGTTAAGCTATTCAAAACTAGATAATTTATTCAGTGTTATCTTCTTTGATCATGTAATAGCTCATGAACCTATGGTATCTATACTCTTTTTACCATACTAAGCATGAATAAAAATTTTCAAATAGACTAAATTTGCTTGGTTTTTCAAGAAAGTCGCTAACCTCCCCTCAGACAAAGCAGAATGATTATCATTTTTAATTTTGTTGTGAACTACTAATAGTGTCTTGAATTATAATAATTGATTCTTTTTGGATAAACCAAGGTAGTAGGTTTAGTAAGATTTGAAAAAACGTTGACTCTGATGGTGGAAAATTTTAGCTTAAATGGCAAAAATAAATCCCTATCAGGCAAAAAATAGGATTTGTCCAAAGATGTTTTTTTTTGTTCTGCCATTTATGAGCAAACAATCAATTTTCAGATAATTCTGTCCTGTGTGCTGCATTCTAAAATTTCTAAAACTGAGATATTTGGAGAAAGACTCAACTTAATCAAATAAAGTTTGCAGTTTTCCTCTTTTTTCTGGAAGTGAAATTTTTTTTAAATCTTAAAGTAATTGGTTTACATCTTGCCATGAGGAACTGCTATCTCTGGCTTATCCATGAAAACATCCATCTGCATAGGGAAACTATTGGCACTTATGTTGGCTCTAAAATGAGCCAGAAATTGTATTTTTTTAAGGTTTATAGGCTCCTTACATCAAATTTGTAACCGATCACTCCTCAAAAGTAAAACTAGTCCGTAATACTTCTCAGCTAGTTTTTCAACTTACTTCATAGAAAAAGATTTTTATGTTTCCTTGATCCTAAGATGACCATACGCTAGGGGAGATTTAAGAGCGAAAAAACCTCCGGTTCATTATATAAAAAAAGTCGTAAATTCATGGGTGCAGCTAAGAGGGAGCTGGGGGGGGGGGGGGGGTTAGCTCCTCAAAAAATCTATTTGGCCTCTTTCATAAATTGTGTGACACATCTTTCATCTTCCATATTTAACTTCAGTCAATTTTTTGCTTAGAGCAGATCAAAATTGCCCTTGGGAAAAATTTCCTGGGAAGGCTTCTCAGACTCTTCCTCTAGAGCCAAGGACCCCCCCCC